ACCGACATAGCCGATAATTTTATAATAAAACCGTCTACCACCGGGCACTTGTCCAGAGACCGCGCGAGCGACAAGTCTGGCTCATATACAAATTTAAAACGAAAACAACCAACATTTAAACTGCTAGTTTTATATTATGTATAATATAAAATATACATACTACATGCTACGGATACTCGTTAAAAAAAAAACTGAAACAAAGTTTAAACAAACCGTTGGAGCTATATTGGTTTTAAAATCAATTAATGTTTTCTGTAATTCATTTAATAGGCAATATAGTTTGTATTTCATTTGTTTTTTAAATAACAATACAATAAATATTATATTTATAGTTTTAAGCATTTGCTTAAATTATATTGGACATTATATGTTGCATCAGTTAAAAATCAGTTTTTTTTATACATCAAGTAACTCTCAATAGTATACCGAAGAAATCACACTTTGTTTGGTTAATTTGCGCGAAGAAACATGCTTGAGAATTGAGGCATCTAGTTTCAAAACCAGCCCTAAGACATTTTGACAACGTGTTTGATTTTTAAGTGACCAAAATGTTTTGCATGTTATGTAAAACAGTTATTGAATATCAAATAAATAATATAATTAATTCAAACTGTGTTTGAAAATCTTGGTTGGTTGTATCTAAAAAAATGATTTGTTGTTTTGTGAAAATTTTCAAAAATTGTATAGCTGGTTTTGAAACTAGGCGCCTCAATTATGCGTTTAATACGATTCAATAATTAGTTTGTAGAAAAACAAATACAAAATTCAAATGTTCTATGTCAATTAAATGAAAAATAATATAAATTCACGAGGAATTACTTAAAGAGTTCAGCTAGAGATCTGAAATTTTAAGGATTTGAATATGCTACTATCGATTACGGGAGTAAGAAGAAAAAAACATTTTTTAGATTCAGTTTTTTTGTGTTGTTGTGTTAACATTTAGAAATATAGATAGAGACAACTTCATTTTATTTACTTGACTGGTGTTACGAGTTAGTTTAATAAGACAAAACAAGAACGCTCATCTGTACGCATATACGCATACACTGTATATTGTGTATTGTATAGTAATCAACGTTTACAGTAGAAAGCTGCCATAAGACCATTGTATCCAAGGATAAAGTTCAGTTTGTAAGGTTAATATAATATTGTAGATAGTAATAATAAAAAACACTAAGTCGTAACACAAGCGCTGGTTTCAAAAAACCACTTACCAGCGATGCTCGCCAGAATTTTTGAGATAGACTAGTAAGGAATTCTTTTTTCGTCGAATCATAACGGTCGGAAGGCCTAAATCCCCTTTCGGATACAATATCGCTTCGGCTCCTCTGCAAATTGACCCTTTGGCTTGAGTCCATTGGGTGCTTTTATAATTTTAGCTGACGGTATAACAGCAACTAATAATAATACAAGAGGTGCAGAGTATTTACATGTACAAGTACGTCGTGAGGGTGAAAATAAAATTACATAAGAAAAACATTCAAAACAAAATAAATTATGTAGGCGGGGAGGGAGGAACCAAAACACACATTTGGTATATGATAAATCAGTAATGTTTTTTTTTTTAAACAAACAAAATCTTACATTTATTTGACGACAGCGACCAGACACTCGGCACGACCAAACTAGCGCGCGGCATTGATCGGATAGTACAGTGTAGTAGTTACCTTAGACCGTACTCAAATTGGCTAGTGGAAAATATTTTGGAAATGAACCAGGAATAGAGTGGTGGTCTTAAAATATAACGACACTGCAGGCCAAATACAATAGGTTGTTTGCCACTACTCGGATTTCGGCAGTGCATCTTAATTGGACTCACGTGTATTACACCGGTGTATCATTAATCATTAATAGTAATTTCGAAAGCTCAACGTTTAGTTTTGGTTAGTTTTAAACGATAGTACAATTAACGATAATACAACTGCAGTAAAACCATCCGGTTCTCGGTTTTGATTATGATTATAAATAGAAAAACAATTCGGTAGAATTTCTCTCAATATGTTGACAACTAGGGTTTACAGAAGTATACCTATTTTCTTACTTCCGGCTTCATGGAAAAAATAAGTCGTTAGTAGTACTTATGTCTATGACCCTTATGACTACTATTAATCGTATGACTACTTTAGTGTCTTACTATATTTTTTTTTATAAAAACAAGACGTTTTTGAGTTATCTTACAACAGTTATGAAATGTTATAAGCTTAGCCCTTAGGGGCATTAATGAAAAGTGAAAACAATTACAAATCATGGATTAAATCTGATGTTTTACGTTTCATTATGCTAAAAACACAAAAGATGTTGTCATGATTTTAGTATTATTTGATACTACTATTGTGCAATAGAAGAAACACATTATTAAATAATTAATTACTACTAAGTAAACAAGATAAACTGAAACTCGATAAAAAAAAATCATATTAAATATTTTTTTTAGATACTTTACAATGAATCATAATAACCATTAGTATACGGCTGTAAAACAATTTACAAACGGTGATTTATTATTATGCTTGTAATGAATATGAATCGTTTAATAACAACATCTGATTTTAATTTAAATATACTTCTTTATCGGCATACAATTTACACCATTACTATAGGTTAAATTTTTTTTAAACTAACGTATATTTTTTTATTAAATATCATCACTTTTATTTTTTTAAGTATATATAATATACTACGTTATTGCAGCTTAGTAAAATATATAATAATAATATTTTGTTTGTTAAATTGACATTTTTACATATTTGTTAAGTGTTAATACTATTTCCATTTATATTTATTTTAGCGAAATTGTGCCTCAATTAAAATACAAATATAATGTCATAGATAACAAATATTCTCAAGTAGTAATTAAGAGGATGCCACTCCGCCCATTTAAAAAAAATAAAGTATGGGCAATTTTTCACTAAATCTTAATTTAGAGTTTGGACTACAGTGTATACTCATTAATACAGTAATAAGGATACTTTATTGGTAGCCATTTCTTTTCAGAGTACCACAGTCATTTCTGTAATTTTTACAATTTACTTAGACATTTTTTCCATCAAAACTGCTTTGCGCGGGACAAGTATGTGAGGCCAGTATTAATAGTAGATTTACCAATTTTTCACAATGTATAGAGAAGAATTTTATCTACAGGGTAACGTTTTTATTTGTTTGATATCTATACTTAATATTTTTTATAAGCAAATGAAAAAAGGCGGATAAAATGAATCTTCACGAATGAATAATTTTGATTTTGCTTAAGTTAACAAAAAACTAAAAACACTACTCCGTAGATAAAGTTCTTTTCTATCCGTTGTAAAAATTGAATACGGTTACTGTAAATACCGCCCTCACATTCTTGTCCCCCGCAAAACCATTTTTCGCTGATAAATTACGGGTAAGTAGCGTTTTTTCTTAGAGGCCTACACCTGTGTATCATCGAAAACAACTCATTCTAATTTTAACCTCATTTTGAAACGCGTGGTCCGACAATAGTTATGCAAACAGATAATGAGTTTTCAATACTTGCTTGATGTATCCTGAACAATCTATGATCAAAGTACATTTCTAATTTTTGTTTTTAGTGTTATTGTAAAAATCATATAAAATCTTAAAAAATTGCACCAATATTTACATAGAAATTATTAATTAACTAAAAAAAATTAGAACTGTGTCACGACGATCGATACCTAAATGCTTGAAGAATGCAAATGTTTTTTTCAATACTTAAAGCGGATTATTTTTAAGAGGGCGCCACACACACGTTATTTTCTTAAAAAAACCCGGCTTACGCGGATTAATTTTACAAAGGCTGTAATCAAAACTAAGAAACCAAATTTTCACATAATATAGACAACAACATTGTATGTGTTCTACCATCGCTTTTTTTTAATATTTCAACCAGTAAATGAATAATTAATTAATTAAGAAAGGACTTTTTTGACTTTTTAAAAATGATATAGCGTTGGTTGTATTAGGCATATCGAAAAAATACGGATGATGGAACACAGATAATTTTGTTATAAATAATATTATGTATGCATTTCTTTCCTTAACTATATATGAAGTCTGAGAAAAATTAATCCGCGTAAAACTCATCTCAACAGAAATTTTTTTTTTCTAAATCGCTGTCAAGGATGTTGTGATATTCCGAAAAATAATTTAACTACTACAAAGGATTCCTAACTACTGAACTCATAGTTACACATCACAGTTTAGCCTTTAAGTTAAGATTTTGTAAAAAATTGCCTATACTTTACTCCTTAAAAATGGGTGGTGTGGCGTCCTCTTAAGAACTTTTGTTTTGAAGTAGAAACATATGTTTTTATACAAAAATAAAATCTAAATGCGTTATAGAAGTTGAAACAAAATTAAATATCAAAATAATATTCCTTATTTTAACATATATGTTTAAAAATGTTAGCTTCCTGTTTTAGTGAAAAATTGTCTATACAATGCGCCTTAATAAAGGCTTGAACTGCAATTTTATACGAAATTGAAAACTAATGAAAATTAAATCCTTCTTTAAAATAGTTCTATAATACTTATTTGAGTTTATTTTTCTGAAGCTAAAAGTTATTATTACATAAGAGATAACATGGACCATTGTAGTTCAATTATAAACACATGAAAACAATTGGTAATTAATGTAACTAATATTATACTAAAAAAATGTATAGAATTAAGTGAAATTGTTAGTATTTACTATTTAGGCAAAATTATATAGCATATGTGTGTTGGGTATAGGTTGTTGGTAGCTTTCTTATATTTTAAACCTGTAACTAACTTATATCTTATATTCACCATACCATTTATGTCTATCGTTATACTTCGCCTTCTCAAGTATGAAAAAGTTGTTTTAATTTTTTTATTCATCAAATTACAATAATATTCAAACCTAATTCTATATTTATTTCTTATTTGAGGTACAGTTGTGCAATCTATAATATATAGTAATGTCTAGAGTAACATTCTAACATTTAGTGTTTAAGCAATACAAATTAAAAACTCACGTTGGTTTTTGGCATGGCATTGGATATTTTTATATTTTGAGGTTGTTCTCCAATCTGAAAAAAGTTTAAATTATTGTTATAATATACTTATATTTTTTAGAGTTATATACTATTGGAGTGCTTACTGTTAGATCATTCCAAAGACATATGAACTTTCGATTTTCCCAAGAAGTTTCCTCTGATGTGTGGTCACAGTGTTCGGAAAATTTTGGATAATGATCATCTTCCTGAATAATTATTTATATTATAATAATTATTTCAATTAATGATTAATATTTTTAATTGGAATTTAAGTTTCCACAGTAGAAAACCTAATAACTTACTGTTTGGACTGCAGAGGGGACATAACATAGGTCTCCTTTTTCTTCAATTTCGTTGATGATATCTTTTAAAGTTTTCTTAATTCCTTCCTGATGAATTTCATAGCTTTTGGTTTTTTTATTTATGTAGCTATTATACTGAAAAATAATTTATTATGTGTTCAAATAAAATACTTTGTTTTACTAAACTAAACATAACAACAGTTCTAAAATATTATGGTTAAAAAAAATTGTTTCAGACAAAACAATAGTCTTCTATGGAATGGTTAGAAGAAATATAATTCACTATATATGTAAGTACATAGTAAGGGATTTTGAATTATAGGTAAACCAAATGAGAAGATAGTGGATTATAACAATACTATAAAAATGTGTGGAGAAATTTTAACTGGCCGACCCTATTTAACGCAAAGATATGCTTCCATTTTATTTATTTATTTTTATTATTACTTTTATTGGTGATGGTTGAAAATTGGCACACTGCATCATTTTCAATTTGTTTTCAATGTACCTAAAAAAAAACGATAACAGTTATTAAATAAATATAAATCACTTTTATTTTGTTTTTTTAGTTTTCAAATTAATGTTAAAACGTACACGACTGTTGTCGGAAACTAAAATTTAAGTTACTACGTGAAAATTAACTCAAATCATAATTTTAATGTAAACCTATGAATGCGTTTATGTCATCTCCTGGTAATTTATTGTAATCGAACGTTAGTTTAACCGAATACAAGTATAATATTAAAGTAATATTGGCCCTATGTGAGTATCGTATGGACATAGGGCAATAAGGCGAACTGCATTTTGGCCGAGTATCCGAGTATTTGTATAGGCTTTTAGGCGAGGCGAAAATATAATGCAGGAACGCAATAAACATTTAAAGCCGAGGCCTGTGAACTCACACGGAACCACATAATAAATGAAACTATTTCTGATTTGTTCTTGTCGACATGTGCTTCAATCGCAAAATTGAAGCCGGTCCAAAAACCCTATTATTAAACGTAATTATTATATTGCCGTTGACGGTCGGCTCTGGAAATCAATTATACGCGGTGTTCCAGCCAAGTCTCCAAGTTGGTTCCGTGAATGAGTAAAATACAATGTGACGTTACACATCCGTTTGCTGTGCCTACTTATGTTTTGACGTTAAACGAACATCGCCTGCGATGCCATACCGCTGTTAAAGACTACCGTATACTTAGCAAACTGATAAAATACAATATATAATATACCAGTCAATCGTATTGGCAGACATAAGTATTTTTTTTTACTTACTTCAAAGCGACGTGGCAGCCTTCCGTGCAGTTCGGTTGAGTATATTTTTCAATCTCAGTCTCCACTATCGGTGCTGCAGTTTCTGCTGTGTTATCGCCATCCGGTCGTCCGCAATCAAAGCCCAATCTGGTCTTCTGTCAAACAAACCGTATACATTGAATCGTTGCGATAACTTAATTAATGATATTCACTATATGGTAATAGTATATTAGATAGGAAACAGCCTCCTCCTTTTTCGTTGTCGGTTGATATTGTACAAATAAACGCACGCTACCTTTTTTGTATTTTGTTTTTTTTTACTATACCGTTAAAGAAATATTCAAAGTTGAAATTAACATGCAATAGAACGGATTTCTGTAATAGGGATGGCCGAAGACCGTCGAAGCTGTCGATTTGCTGATTTTGCCGATTTGAACGAACGTAAATCTCGCGCAATTTTCTATGGCGACCGATCTGGCGACATGCCATTTTGTATAAGGCGCACATAAACATACACACACACACACACACACATATGTATATAAATAAATAGTCGGAGAAAAAGAATCGAATGGAATAAAACACATGTAAGAGAGTGAATCCGTTTCAAACAAACCGGACAATTGAATTTGGAGTTTATTTATATGCAGGACAAGCGCGACTTCAACTGCTGGACGTTTCAATTATTTATATGCACAACGCTTTTCGGGTTCGCGCCAGACTTGCAGTCTATACCACAGCAAACATTGGCTAACTCCCCACAACACATTTCAAACTTTTCTCGGATTCTAATACCGACTCAGTTTCAAGACACAAGACGTGACTATAAACATTATAATCTTTTTCAAATGAAAAATTATGTTATTGGGCTTTTTATTATTATCACTCAAAAGAAGTAATTATAATATCGTCATAGATAAACGGCTGGCTTTTGTAGTTGCTGTTGAGTTGACAACAACGATGTTGTCTAAAACAAATAGTGGCCGATAGTTTATATTTTACAGTAATACAATATATTAAACAAAATGAGTTAATACTATTATCTCGATTATTGTCTTATTAAATGTAAATAGCAACAGTAAATCTAAATCATATATTTGTACAACAATAATGAAATTATCGCACTAGACAAACTAGGGAGTAACGATTGAGCTAATCGTTCTTTTTGGAGAATTCAGTATTCTTATAATATATAATTGATTAGACTGTTAATAAAAGCAAACTATGATTTTGCTCTTATATTATAATTTATATGTGATCATTTTAATTTAGAATAAATTACATAACCATCGATTAGACCATCAGTAAAATAAACTCAATGAGATTACAATTTTAGGTGTAGATGATGTCATTAAGAAATATTAATTTAATTAACAGAAATGGCGTAATACAGTTTGTTGTATGACGTTAAATTATTTCATTTAGGCTATAAATAATATATGTGAATAAATAGTTTCTAAGTGGTTTTATTATCCAATCAGCAATACTATATTTGAAACGTTAACCTCTTATGAAGTAATGATCAGCTGCTCAAATATTTATTTGGAACAACTTTGTTTTTATTTTTCAACCAAAACATTTTACCGCTGTCTTATATTAAACGTATATTATAATAGAAAATATGAGAAATTAGTATTTTAAAACAAAATCAACTATAGTATACACATTTTTAAAAGCAAAACACTAACATTTAAATAATTTATTCAAGTTTGAGTATGATTTTTGTTTTGTTTCACGATTGTAAAACTGTAATTAAAAATCAGTTAACTCGTGAGGCCTGGGGGTTATTTTCAGAATAACTACACATTCATGTTGTACACTAGATCTCGCTATCTGTATCGGTGTACGACACACACTAACAATCATAAATTATTATTGACAATATGCACGTTTACAACGTTAAAATAAATACAGTACAAATAGTTTATTCAAAAAAATTGGTGCTTATTAGTATATTATATATATATATATTCTTAAGAATCTTTTTGGAGGGACAACCTTATAATACCTACAATAATTACAATATTAAATCTGTTTTATAATATTAAATGCCCAATACTAGAATTTACAGTTTGTACATTCATAAATTCATTTGAATACTAATGGTTACATTAATTATCTTTATTGTCAAAATCTGTATGTTCTAGTTTTGCTATAATTATGGGGCCAAGTAAAAAATTATAATATTCCTTCTAGGTGCTAATGTAATTTAATGATAATATTGGTTTATGTAGTAACCGTAACGATAACCGTGAAACTAACCAAAATAACCAGTACTTAAGGGTTTTTAGAAATATATACCAACAGACAAGCACGAATAGGTGGACATTGTGAAGTAACTAATATATTATGTAGCGGCCCGATAATTTGTTTTTTGTATATCGTTTTGCATTTTATTATATTTCACGTGTAGATTTCGAATCAGTTTAGCTATTTTTGATGTTTAACTTATGTGTTCCAGTTAACACAAAATACTGAAAAGTGAGACGAATAAAAAAAAGAAAGGAAAGAAAGCGTGTGGCTGGGCGATAAGAGCTTTTAAATAATGATGACAGTACCGATACTGTAGCGCGGGTACTGTCATTCATGGATTCACAAATAACAAATCTAAAGGTATTTCACCATACCCATCTGCCATTTGTTTAGGAAAAAGAGGACTGCCAGCAATGTACAAAGATTCATTGCCTACTACCCCTTTACCTATCCCATTCATCACGTTTATAATACGCCTAGATTAATCCATGTCTGGGGTATTCGTTACAACGTTGAAACATGAATCAAACATATTATAAAAGACTAAACCCCAGTAAAAACAAATTACACCACGGATTTCTCCGGTGACTGTACACAAGGAATTATTATTTGCTTGACGAAAATCTGAATTAATAGAATACTATGACATGCGAAATCAGTAAGTATTAGTATATTTTAATATTAATGTTACACATAAGTCACAAACCACATAATATCTAGCAAATAAAATATTAACTCTTCACGGTCAACATGATAATATTTATTTGTATTAAAGTGCCTGGTCTCGTAAACAAGTTTTTCCGGGGAATAAAAGATTTTGTTTAATTGTTTACAATTATTCATTCTCTTCTTTTTTTATTATTAATGTTGTAAAGTTAAATACTGGTATTTCTTGGCAACTATACCACTATTTTGGAATACGTTCAAAGTTTTGTTTCCGAGAAATTATTCTATCTTGCCGTCAACGGCGAACGCTATTCTTTGAATTTCTTATTAATAAAGGTCTTTATTGTAAATTGGTTACCTTTGTTTCTTATTAATTTAAAGTAATGGTATTGATTAATCTGCCTATAAATAGATATGTATCAGAATTTAAGGGTCATAACAAATAATATTAATAGTTTTTGATTTCAATTTTTAAAGTATTATTTTCTATAACGTTTTGTTCAGCGTTGATAATTAATACCATAAGTACTTGCTTAATGATTTGAAAATAATTCATGTATAATTATTGGGTATTTAATTTCTAATATGTAGGAAATATTATCGAAACAGATGTGTTAAAAATAATCGAAGTTATGTTGTTAAAAGTTATTAAAATATTATATTTTATAAAAAAAAAAACTATATTTTCCCAGTATTAATCACGTTGTATGGTTATATCAATAGGAGTTACTTTATTCGTCGCTTTGACCAATAGTTTTATATTATATCATTTTTTGTGCTTGTTATACTTTGCTGGGTTATACGTGATTCGGGGAACTAGGAAAATTAAAAACCCAATAAATTGGTCTGATTACTGAAAATACATTTCGTTTTAAAGTAATTGACGTTAATATAAAAGAGATATTATTAAACACAACTTTATTTACTTGTCTCATAATTATTTTCAGTATCTGTGTACTGTGCACAATACCTATAAACAAATTATGTATCACATAACAGTAGTTATTGCACACTTAATGATTTTTCACTTAACTCAGTCACTGCCCACAAAATATTAGGTAAAATACAACTTGAAATATTTGGACCGTGTGTGTTTTTCAAACAGTTTAGGCATAAGTAACAGATACGCAATACAACTTTTTTTTTTAACGTTCACAAAAAAACAAAACACATTTTTAGAAAAAAAAATATCTTCATACTTACGGTTGGCAATAAACACAATTTTTTCTGATAATTTCTGATTAAAACATATTCTCTCTCGCGTACGCGTTGTTTAGTTAAATGAAATTATTGTCTTTGTCTTAGCACATATGGTTTGGTACTTGCTACATGCACAAACACCTGATATTGTCTAGCTAAGCGTGTTTGTAAAATAGCTGGTACAAAGCGCACGATATCGGAACCGTATAGCATAATATCCTACAACGGGCTATTTAGAGAACGTGGGCGGAGCTTTGTTTAGAGGGGAATACTCTGTAGTGTCTGCCGACAGTAATAATAATTCGACGGCCGATGTATGAATCGCATGGAACACAACAACTGTGACAATATTATACTATTATGTTTTTTTTATACAACGGTTTGTTCCCACTTACATTATGGTAATGGTGCCAGATCAGTAACAGCATGAAAAAAACGATCTCGAGCCTGATTCCAGGTCTGGTCACGTGATTCTTGTCGGATATCAAAGAGCTGTAGAAAACTGTGTCCGTGTCGTCGGCTTTGCGTTTTTCATTTATCGAATTGCATATTGTGTAGTTACCTATAAAAAAAAAAAATTGATTATTAGCACAATTAGTTTAAAAATGTTGTGTTGTGTACAAATATTTTCGAGAAATGCTTTTAAAAAGGATGTGTTTATTTTTAAAACACCTATGCTGGATTTTAATAACTTAAACGATTCTCTTCAATTCGAATGTATGCTGAAAAGGCTAAATTCATAAGCCATAAAGCAACGATAACTTTCGGTAGCTGAAAAAGTTTAAGCTAACTATTACTACCTGTTTGCCTAGTTCGATCGCCTATGATGATAATGGTAGCCTCTCTCTCTAGACAGATGGCTGCTGCCCAAAGAGAGGAGACCACTCGTTCTCCTCGTGTCTAGATATAATACCTCGATACGAATTACGATTACTTATTACAGCTATACTTAATTAATCGATTGATATCCAATCCTTTAATTTACTAGATCCCCACTTGAGTTAATAATTATAAGCATTATACGATAAAATTGTTTTTAACGATGTAAAAATATTATTCAGTACCGGATAAAAGAAGTACTTACATTGTGATAAATGCGTTTGATTTAGTCCGGAACAGCTGTAATACAAATGGTTTAGTTAAACGGTGATACATTTATCAAAAGCTCATCATCATCAGTTAGTATATAAATGAAAATTGCTACATTATGGTTTCCGATTCATCGACGTCTGATTTGTTTAAAAAATCTTAATTCATTATAGGATTAAAAAAAGAAGTCATACTTTAAGAATAATTATTTAATAACTATTTTTGTTTTTTAATTTTAATAGTCAAGCATGGACTAAAATTTAAAATACGAGACGATTTCATGGTCACTTCAGGAATTTTTGAGTAAGTCGGGTTTTTTCTACCTAGTCTCGAGAAAAAGTAAAAATTACATTTTTAATCAAACTCAAAAGAAGTTTAAGTTAATAATACCGGCGTATGTATAGAAATGAAAAAATGCTACAATGTTAAAAAAAACAATATTAAAAGAATACCATCTTTTTAAATAAAATGTTTGGCTAGAACAACAGGGTAAACGCATAATTAAATAAAAACATTGGTTTACTCGAATATTTTATGCATGGATATAATATATGAATACAATAAAATATTTTGGTAACTCATTAGTTGTTAACAAATACTTGTATAAAAGTTTTATTCATGTATTTGAGTTTAGACATAGTTTCAGTGCAAATTTTCTTTAGGAGAGTTTGCATTTCAGTGGAATTCTCTAAATTCATATCTTTCAGAGCTTACAATAACTTAAAGCCTATTATATGCAGTCTTGTGCCGTTAGTATAATTTGTAATTTTTATTATAACACTGTAGCAAACAACCCGTTAACCACAAGTCAACACCTTGAGTATTTTTTTATGGTTAATTTTGAATAAATAAAAATTGTATTTAAAAAAAATAATGAAAAAAGTTAATAAATAAGTATACGCAATAAAGTATACAATACATTGTAATTTATAGTAATACTTTGATGTAATTTAACATTTTTAAGCTATAAAGTACTTGGGATGTTAAGAAATTTCGAATTGATAATTTTTTTTTAATAATACTGTTATAATATACAAATTAGTGTACTACTAGATAATACGATAGCATAAAATACATGTAACGGTATATTTTACTCACATTGTGTTGTTGGTGGAAGTGCATTTTCCACAAATTTCTGAGATGTTCGTGCATAGATGTCTAATAGGTGTATTCGGTGGGTTCGTTGTATTGGTTGTTTCGTTTTGAAACGCACTGGCATCACTAAAACTTTTAGTTGGTTTTGTACTCGCCGAGAATTTATGTTGAGTTTTCATTTTACTTAAGACCTGTAAACCAATGATTTTCTCGTATAGCATGATAAATAACAATACAACTATGGTATTTGGCAGATCCAGTACCAGCAGTGGTGCTGCTAACCAGTTGCTATACCTCTTTTTCATTGAGTTTTGATTTTTGTTTTATTTCGCTGTGTCCGACATATTTCTTTTTGGTCGTCAGTCTAACAGGCGGTTCGGATGTTCCATAAAAAATGAGTTGCCACTTTTTCAGTATGCCTAAGAATAATTTCATAGTCAAATTAATTCCGCATTTGCGCAGTAACAAATCATTAATTTTTTTTTTTCAATTGGAAACTATATTTTACTATTTACTACATTGAAATAAATGAATTTAAATATTTAACAATATTATAATATCAGTGCATCAGAGCGGAAGTGTATTAAATCAAACATTTCAACTTCCAGGTTTTTTTGCTTCACCTAGATTTAAATTTTGGGACTCTATTCACTGATTGACGTTTGGACTCTTAGATGACTAAACAACTTTTTATGAACTTTATTAATCAAAACAATATCTTCTTTACATCACGTTTATTAGGTCCAACATAGTACATACATACATCAGATAAGAGATAAGATATTAAAAATAAGATGTAAAAGATAAGAGATTAGGTACTCCATCTGTACTTAAGTATTGATTGCTAAATTTGATTTAAATCATGATGTTTTCTCGACGAGCACGATTAAATGAATGGTTAAATTTATCTAAAATAACTGACCAGCTGAATGTTACCAAGAAACGGATTTAGGCCAAATATTAAAAAACTACTAAAAAACATAATACAACATAAAATTAAGAAAACACTATACTATATTATCATATTTTAATGTTGCCATCGTTTATAGAACGGTTTCAAGAAAACTGAGGAAACTCAGTTCTTCTTCTGATTCCTAATTTTTCTTTTAAGTTTTGTATTTTTCTCTCTCTTGTAAAATGTACATTTTGTGACTTAATACACTTTTGCTCTGGGGTACGGTAAGGATATTGATTAAATAAATAATTAATATACTGGAGGCGCATTATTTGTTAGATACCCGGTCTGAAGTAAAGTCTAGAAAAGATAATTGTTTTGCTATTTCGTGTGAATTAATTAAATTTTGTTTACCCGGAGACTTGGCCGTTGAGTTAGCCATTCTTCTTGTTATTTTCAACTGCCATTGTCCGACGATTTTCTCGCCCCAATAATGAACACTTAAGAACGGCCAATCGTCGAATGTACTGCTAGTCACATCCAACGATCTCTCGAACAACAACACCGACTCGGTGCCCATCGGTGATGTAAGCACGATTCTCAGATCGCCTCTCGGGAAGAATTTCAACGAAATAAGACATTGCACGTGTTCTACATAATTGACCGTGTTCTCCGAGTTTCCATGACACCCGTCCACGTCCATCGAGACTGACAATACACTACCTGGATTCGGATCAATCCACCTACAAAACAAATTATAAAGTTTGACAATATTCTCTGTTATGCGAGTTTCCAAAACTGTAATCATATTTATTGGCTACAAAAACCTTTGTTTGTTGTCTTCTTTGGTCCTGCAAACTTTCTGTGGAGGGACATTGGTCCATTGTTCTGCCATAGTTACAAGAGCACCACCATCCATTAGCCCGTAACCAAATTTATGGCTTACTGCGTCGAGTAAAAAGTTTAAACGTACATACTTTAATGCTCAGTCAGATTGTATATAAAATTTACCTTTGCGGTTTACTCCGTTCGTTGTCCAACCGGTTTCGTTTAATAAAGGTTTGGTTTTCGATGACATCACTACTAAGTATTGCATATCCCTCCATGTAAGATTCGAGTTAGCCTCTAATGCTAGAGCACAAAGACCTGCGGCAATGGGAGCTGACGCCGATGTACCTTTTAATAGCAGAGAACAGTAAACAATAAAAGTGTTGGGTCGGGTTAAATTTAACGCAGACGTTAGAACTATAAATTACAAACCACTATGCTCTGATGTGCAAATTGTTTCTGGTTGAAGTTTAGTGTCCATGTCGACAGTTGTGACACCGTGATCACTTCCCGGCGTTCCAGAACTATATGTAGCAGCTAAAGTCGATGAGCATTCCTCTAAATACCAAGGTTTGTTGCTAATGGTATACAAATACATTATAATAACTATAGTTTATTTGTAGATAGAAATAATAGCATTAAAATGTCATATTATACCCGGTTTGAGTTACACTTGAAATAGACAAAGTGTATATACTATTTGTGTATCCATCGCAATTACATGAGTCAGTATGATGTCCTCCATTTCCAGACGCCCAAACAAATATTGAACCTTTCCCTTGTCTACCCTATTAACAGTAATCGCATTATATTATAAAAATTTTTGTTTTATATTTTCCTCTATTACCTATCAGTTTCTAATAAAATACGATAATATGTAATGTTATTGAATACAATTTACTCAGAAAAGTACACCAGAGTTCTTAGAATAATTTAAACTTGACTTTTATGTTTTAAGTAAATATTTATTACTGTTTTTAAATTACATTTTTTGTACTGGTTTTTAGAGCCAAATTAAAACACAACTTTATTTTTTTTGTAGAGAAATTGAATATATATCAACATTTAGCTTACTTATTTAGTTTAAATTACTTATTATAATTATTTTGCGAGCTATATAGCTTTTTATAATGATTTATGTTCAAATATATAGTAAAAATAAAAACATTTAAATATTATTTTATACGAATATGCGAAATAAATTGAAAACGTTTTTAGCAAAAGAAGTAAAATTAATAATGTGAAAGAATTACTACGTTCATAAATTATTATCGTTTAATCGGTTTTGTTTTATTTTATTATTTCCATTAAACATGTGAATTAGAAACAAATAGTTTTAAAGTATCAAAATGAATAATGAAATTGATACTCAATAAGTTTTTTGAAAAGAAGTTTTGCTATAATATACAATTAATAATGCCGATGTAACTTTTTTAATGACCAATAATTTAAAAATAAATAAAATATTTTATTTTATTGCGATACACATTTTAAATAAACTTAATTAAGGAAATAGCTTACCTAATTGGTTTTAAGCGTTAAATGACATTTAATTTCGTAATCAATCTAGAGAATTAAGGAAATCATCAGAAAATACATAAGTACCCAATATATTTAATCATCTGGAAAAATATTAACTTCAGTTCTAAACTAAACTAATAATAAAATGAGCGTTTAGAATCATTATCGTTTCACTAAATCGATCGACGCTTCAATAAATATTTTATTACACAATGTAAAGATTAATCCGACAAAATTGTGTGCAAACAAAATTGCGTGGACTTGGATTACAATATATTTGCGTATATAAGCATGCTAAGGAGGAGGGAAACCAAACTCATTAATTTTCATTTACTTTTCAGTTTCTACACAATCACGTGGTACGGTTGTTAAAGTTTAAAAAAATATTGCCTATATATAACTCTTTGTTAACATCAATTGAAATACTCTTTACGCCAGTTTAATTATTAAAGTTTATATAGCAACTAGAGGGTTATTACTTATTAAACAGCAAAACGTTCACTGTGTTATGTTTATTTAAAACATTGATTTTAACTAATATCGACAATATTAAGTCCTTTGCCGTTTAACTGAACTATTGCTGTGTTTAGAACTATTAAAGTTTATATAGCAACTAGAAGGTTATTACTTATTAAACAGCAAAATGTTCACTGTGTTATGTTTAGAACTGTTTTTGACTAAACCTTTCGAATATTACACTAACTAAGGATGTGTTGAAGCTTTCATGGATTGAAATATTATCAATTCGATAATCTTAATATAATGTAAAACTAACTTAAATATTTAAAAAAAACATGGACCCTATCAGAGTGGATTAGCAATTTGGCCACTCTCTGACTAGTTAATTATAGGCTCTCTATTAATCCGTGTATTTAATAAACTTGACACAACCTTAGATTGATGCCTAAAATGTTTTTTATATCCATGTCCGTAGTGGTATGAACAAAACAATAAGTGTAAACTTGATAATCTTCGGATGTATCCATAGCATTGATTTGTTGTTGACGTTTCAGACTCATTGCAGAGTTTATCTTCAGAGTGATGTCACCGCTCCACTGCCACCGCTATACTGACTGCTTCGCTTTTTTCCTATCGCTATATACATATGTGTAATTGTACTGCATTGTCTTTTTCCCCGTTTCGTTGTTAATGGTACTTTTTTGGTATTCTTCGCATTTTGCTCTTCCCTTTCTGCATCTGATGTTTTCATTTATTTCGACACCAACTGTTTCTACTATTTGGCATTGATCGGATGGTTTAGTTAGTTTTTTTGTTCTAATACATACTTGGTAAGGCAACAAGGTAATCCTTTCTTGTCATCTTCTTCGTTTTTTTTATGGTTGAAAAAAACAGTACAAGAACACTTAAATAGCTGTAAAAATCAAATAAAGCGGTCACTATGGTCGAGGTAGTGGAGCGGTGACTATCTACGCTTTTAAGATCGACTCTGAATCGAGCTCGAAACGTCAGCAACAAATCAAAGACGTGGGTACATCCGAAGATTATCGATATTACACTTATTGTTTTGTCTAAGCCATTAAGAACTGGACTTGTAAATGTAAATCACATCGTATGCTATCAAACCATATCCCTATTATCAATGGATTGCGCTTTTCTACCCGCCGTGTCTACATAGTTTATTACTATTAGAATACGAAAAACTATAAATTATACTCTTATATATTTCTGAAATAAGAAATAACTCATTACTCTAGTAATACAATAAACACGACTGACAAATGGTTGTTTAAAATTTTAATTACACATTTTTGAAGTCGCACGGCGAAAACTAATAGTTACTTTATCAGATCAAACTCTGTTTCAAAAATTAATACACTTCTATAAACAAATTGTATTCATTTTTTTTAACTTCAGACGGAGACCAAGCGACCGGTAAGCTGTAAAGGGCGATAGATAAAAAAAAATAAAAACACACTGAACGGACATTACTCTGTGTATAAACAGGGCTGCACGTGTATACCGTTTATTACGCTGACCACAGAGGAAAATTCCAATGAGTTATCGCGTACTATAAAGTTACACTATTTATCACAAACAAAACGAGAGGGTTTCGTATTGGGTTACTTTTCTCGACTTCACTGTGTAATTCGATTGAGCGATACAGTTTAGTACGTATTTGCGCGTCTAGCTCAAGAAGGTATTACTATACGTGCGCCGAATTAAAAGGATTGCCAGTATACCTAAGTGCACTATTTTTTTGATTCTCGGTGCCATGTGTTTAACGTCTCAACTTGCTGTTCTTGTGTTTCTCCAATTATTCGAAAACCTCTTTCGATTTGTTCAGCTGTGGTGTTTGTGATTTTGGAAAAATACATCTTACAATTTCAAACCTGTCCTACAGCCTGTTTTCCCTCCACGTTTCTGCATTGTTGTGTATGAAACTCATAAATTACACAGTCGAGTTGTGCAAACGGCACTACATAATAGTGACAACGAACACATTTTTCTTTATTATTCGGTTTGATTATGAACGAGTAAAAAAAACACCTAGCTGTTTGGTCGAAAACGAGAAAAAATACACCGTTTTACATAAATAGCTATCATATTATTCTACAAGAAAGAATTCTTTTGATACACAGTGGTAGCATACAAATATTGACACTGTAAAGCCACTGACAATGAATAGATACATTTAATAGTTTTTTCGTTATTTTGTAATTATTGTAATTATTGTTGTAAAACATTTAATTTCAAAAGGAATTATGCTCGTTAGATCTAGAGAATGAGGAGACGACTATTCAAGAAAAATTAAGATGTTTAGCATCATTAAAATACATTAATTCATTCATTATAATATGTATAATACGTTTAATACATAAAGAACGTACATTTTGACTATACTTGTTGTATATTATTAATTAGAGGAATTGTAATAGCCATATTTTATCCATTAATAATTAAAGTATGGACTTAAATATTCAGTATTGACATTTAATTTACTAGAGAAATTTTGGACCGCTACCTTTTACCAAAAAAAGTTCTAGTAGTAGCTTTGTAATCTACATTATGTTGTAATAGTTATGGTAACTGAGAAAAGTTTATCTTATACAATGTTTACTTATTACTATTCATTCTTATCACTATTTCATTAACGATATCAATGTGTGGGCGAAGCCAAAATCGGGTGTGGCGTATGGAATTAGACAACTAAATATCTTCACACAATCGCCGGTTTTCAGCTCACAGCAATTGTGCGGTGTGTCTATCTTCGGACTGGATAACTGTCTATTTAAAGAAATAGCAACTTTTTTATCATTTCCCTTTCCATCACTAATTAATTTGCATAAAGTACGCACTTAAGCATAACGTCTAGTAATTAGATAAAAAATGTAATCCTTATTAAAAAAATAAGGGCTTTTTAAATAATTCATTGTCAAAAAAATAAATTATTCAATATTAGTCGATAGATTGTTCCATTTGTTTACATTTACTCCACTCGATCTTACGTACAATATTTTCAATCACAAATTAATTCTAACTAAACAACTTTTAGCCTGGCTAGACATTTTCCTTTTTTTCCCCAAAAACGTTGAAATAGGAAAAAAGGCCAGACTCGAAAGTTCAACTATGTATACAAATTCTGCCTCATTATTTATTTAAAAATTATAAAAAAATAGGTGTTTTTGTGAAATTACGAGTTTGAGTTATAAATTGCATTACTTTAAAAAAAATTATAGAATTATCCATACTTAAAATAAATTTAAAAAAAAATACTGTATTATGAATTTCTAAAAATTAACATTGCATATGCATGAGTGATTATTATTTAAGCGTATACTTAAGGAGAAAGCTCAGAGCATAGTAGGGAGAAAATATATGGCATGCTGTTGAAATTTCCAGGTGATTGCCCATCCGGAAAACCAGCAACATACGGTGTATAGCTTGATTTTGAACATAAGGTGTCTAATAAATTATTTCAACACTGCACCAGGTTAAATTAATAAATTAAACAGTGTATACTACTCTAGCTGAAAGTGCTTAAATGCTTTAAACAATAAGGTAGTATGAATAGGTATAATATTTATTATATCTGTTTGCAATAGATGTAAAAATGTGTCATATGAAAATTGATAGTAATAGGTATTATCTAAATTATTTGTAATAGCTAATAACATACTTTAAAACAAATAATATATAATTACAAAAAAAAAAAAGTCATGTTTAACTTATTAGTGATTTACATTAACCCTCTAATATATCCAACAAACATATATTTCTTTCACTTGTACTTAAAATGATAAAATAATATGAGCTTGCATTAATGGACTTATCGCTACATAAATTATTACAAATAAATATTTATAATATTATAATATTCAAATTTAATTGTGAAAATAGAATTTAAAAAAAACCATAACAACTTTATAACAAAGTAAGTTAAATCATATTCATACTATATTATGAATGTATAATGTATAGTATATATACATTGTAAACGTATTTTTGTCTAATACTTTTTTTTTTATTTATACAATACAGATGTCTTCCCAATAGAGTTTAATGAATAATTTGTTAAAATTTTGAAGTAATGAGAACCAAAAGCGTACAGTATTGGGGTATGTGGGGGGATAGATTCTCTCGTTGTACTGTATTCGTTTTTAAATGATTTTTACATTTTTAAAATAGACATTAAAGAAAATTAAACATGTATGCCTTTTTGATTCTGCTCACTTCAATAAAAAAAACATAAATGGCTGAGAGTGAAATTAGATTTTTTTTAAATATTTTAGGCAAGTTATTAAAGAACGACATAAGTTCGTACCGTATTCAAAGCTCGACGATATTAATACATAATTAACACACATGAAAAAAAAACCTTCATAACTTTAGTTTTGGTGCCAATAAAGAGGTGAAAAAAAGGTATTAAACATTTATATAATTTTGGCAAACGACGGTTTCAAACCATGTAGACAGAGGATACTCTTTTGACTTTTTTGGGCCAATTTTTCTCTTTCATCGACATTTAGGAAACTACCCTTTTTCCCAAAGGTAGTAAGCGGGCACAATAATAATAATAATAACCATTTCAACATCACACCCGGTAGAATTCATAAAACGAATAATTTTCAAGTATCCCGGTGTTTCCCATTATTTGGCGACGGGACATCGGAGGATTCCCCTGCCATGTTCACTATTCCAACTATTCCATACACTTACACACATATATATATATATATATATATATATATATATATATATACAATCGTCTACTTCCATACTATACCTACTGCGGCAATGCCAAATGGTTTTCATCCATTAACGCCAAACACAACATAAGTGTACGTTGAAAATACCAACTACCGGCCTGGGGTGCATCATAGAAATTTATCAAAAGTGATAATCACGAACCAAATTTAACAATCATTAAAGTAGGTATTACGGTGCACAATGCATGAGATATTGTGCTGCCTACTATAGCCCTGGTATTGGATGAATGTATGTACTCATCACTATTAGAACAAGTGTAATTATTTTAGGTCTTGCTTACTGCAAATAACACATTTGATGCACGCAGAGAACTCGCTATAAAATGTCAAATGGGAAAAAATGACCTATAAATTATGTAAAAAAAATCCATTAAAATAAATGTTCCCATACGTTTATTTAAACGGTTAAACCTAACCGGCTATTTAAAAACCTTAACGACGACTATTTTGCAAAGGTTACTTCGCTTATGGTTGGACATGTTAGTACTTGGTTTTCTTTAACTGGACCTATGCAATTATATCAATGAAGACCCATCGTAACGTTCAGTGTACATCGTATCCGCCTATGAAACCATACATTTTGAATGATCACAATTTCACTATTGGGCGCCATTAGTCAGAGTTCTCATCTATTTCTAGAAAACAAGATTTTTAATTATTTGCCCTAAACATAAATTCTTTTTGTCACCTAACAGCTTAAACTCTTAACCGTTAATTTATGGTTTCTTTTATAAATCATAAATTGTAACATTATTTAGCACTGATGAACAAATAATGATTTACCTCAAAGCATATTATACTTTTGGAAATTAAGGGGTTGATTTATTAGCCGTTTTTATAAAAATTCAAATATGTAGAACTCAGTTTTAAATGTTTAGTCATACTTTACTTACTCTTAACTTCTTATCGTTTACCACACTCTGGTAAATACTATGAGTGTTCTCATATATATTATTCTTAATATATATAATTTGCCATTGCTGTATTGACCTACCTACGTGTAATACTGTTTTGACTTATCATTTACCAGTGCCAACTATGACGAATAATATTTGTATACTAATATTGCAAAAAGATAGCAAATGTTCGGATGTTAATGAAAACCAAATTATAAACATTTTATTTTTGTTTTGTATTGACTATACTGCAAATCTAATCATTGTTTTTCGAACAACAAATAAAACACAAGTTATTTTAAAGTCTCTAGTACTAATATAGGTGTAGGACTCTTAATTAATGAACTCTTAGTGTAATAATCGAACAGCGAGCATATTATATGTTGTAATTAATTTATCGACGAAATCTAATTAGAGAATCGAGAAACAAAACTTTTAAACCTTTAGTGCAATAGTAATTATCAATACGCAGTTAATTTAAATGCTATATTTGTTAGCGATGTAAGATGAGGTAGATTTTCATTTCATTATTTTATCCATTAGTGAAATTGGAAAATTAAATTATGATTACCGAAATTCAATTATTTTTGCTGTGATTATTTTTTGTTATTTAAAATAAAGCGGTCTATTGAATATCTTAATTTCAATTTATGTTAATTCACGTTCAATTAGAATACATCCTCGGGTAGAGCGTGTAAATATTTCTCGTTATAAGTTCCTTGTATACACCATAAACTTGAGAAAACCGAATGGACATTTAACCTAATATGGTAATTTTTAGATTCGATTTTTCTAAAATTAATTTTAATTTTGAATGACTGTGAATACAAGAAGCTGGTTTCATCAAGAATTATTGGAATATTTTAATGGAGTTGCAACAACGCTTACAACACACAGTGGTCTCGGTATTATACCATCGACGACAACACAGTCGGTTGTTCTATTTAGATAACATTTTGACGATGACACTTACCGATGTCACTCCATTAACAAAAGCTCTTTTGGCCAAAGGTCCTGGCCCGTCTACCGTCTCCCCGTCGTCCTCCGGTCCCCAAGAAGCACTGTATATGTCTATGTAGTCGGTGTTCAGGCTTAACGCTTTCGCCTCCACCGCATCGTTAACGAGTCCGTCCAGCATCCGTACACCTTTTGATAAACACACAAACCGTCGATTATTTTACCAGGAAAATATATTATTGCTATTATCGATCACTGTGGCTGACGTGATATTTTTTGAGTGAGGAAAAAGCAACGATTTAATACAAATCGTTGTGTACAATATATAAATAAATATATATATATATTCCATAAAAAAACAAAATCATTGATCATCTCCGCGGGTCATTGTGTGCCACTTTTACCATCAAAATAATATTATTATAAAAATGGAAAGTGGAAATAATGAAAAATGGGCGTTTTGCCGACCGAGTTAACATATTTTATGTTGTGTAAATAAAAGATTATACAAAATATTATAAGCTGAAACCTATACCTCTACGTGGTACCAAATTACTTTTATACAGTGTTAAATAATACAATTTGTAACATCATACTACTACAAGAGTTCTCTATATGTAGGCAGTAATTTTATACAATAAAATAATGAAACCACAATTAAAAAAAAATATTATACTAATATTATTTAAAATAATAGTTTTAAGGTAAATAAAGTAAATTTCCCTTCTAAATAATTCGTGATGTGTGTGTGTTTTTCTTATCCGTCTATACTACTGTACGGATTTTTTTAGCGGTTGGTTTGTTCGATTCCTCGCATCACGACGCTTAGAATAGGCTACCTTGATTTTTCCGTACTCTTCGTCTTCATTGATATCCTGTCCGGAAGTAGCGGTTTGGTAGATCGGTAGTTAGCGTTTATTGTTATTGCTAGCCTAGGATTGTATACATTATGTTTCAAATGGTGATACCATACAAACGATTTAAAAAATCAACAACGAAAAACATAAAGGACAAGAAATGTTGCAACGTCTCAATAAAGAACAAATAGGTACGAGCATTTGACACTACTCTTTCCGCGATCGCTGATGACACTCTTCCCAAGAGGTGCTTCATTTTCGATGGCCCAGGTGGAATAGGGAAAACATACTTATACAAAACCCTTTTAAGCACCATTAGATGAGAAGGGACAATCGCATTAGCAACTGCGTCAACTGGTATTGCGGTGAATTTTCTAGAAGTAGGAAAAACATACTACAACCTTTTCTAATTAGTCCCACCTCTAAAAGAAACCTCCACTTCAAACCTCCGACTTGCTTCAAACGAAGCAGCAACTATTAGGGAAAGTCAGATTGTTATTTGGGGTGAAGCTACAATGGCTCCCTCGATCGCCTTAGAGGCTTTTGACCGAATACTAAAAGAAATCATGAGCAATAACAAGCCTTTTGGAGGGAAAACTATGCTGCTAGGAGGAGACTGTAGACAGACATTGCCAGTTGTTAAGCGTGGCAATAGAGTGAAGATCATCGAAAACTGTATCAAATACAGTCACTTATGGGGAGAATTCAAAATTCGTTGACTAACAAAGAACATAAGATCAGTGGATCCATCCTTCAGTAAATGGGTGCTAAGTATAGAGGACGGGAATCATCCCAAAGTTGAATCTCTACCAGAAGAGAGACTAGCAATCCCACTATTGGGGTTACACGATGGCCATTTGGCGGTAAAAGTGTTTGGCTCCCAATTAAATGTTCAAGATTTCGATGTATACTTAACCAAAGCCATTTTGTGTCCGAAAAATGCTGACGCTGAGAGAGTGAATGAAGCAGTGCACGAGCTTCTCGAAGGTAGAGTTCACGCGTACTTGAGTCACGACACAATCGACCAAGACGGGAGAGTAACGCATCGAACCCTTAAACCCAGTTTAATTCTTGAACACCCTCTGGATTGCCATGTCATCTGCTCAACCTCAAACCAGGAACAGTCGTCATCCTAATGAGGGATTTGAACACAAAAAAAGGCCACTATAATGACGCACGAATGGTAGTTCAAGAACTTAAGCCAAACGTTGTCATCACCAGAGTACTGACCGGTTCAGCTTGCGGTCAAATAGTGTTCATTCCAAGGGTAGAAATGGCATACACTGATACCGATGTACCATACGACCTGCCTTCTATATAAGCTATCGTCATTCTATAACAATAAAATATGGATATTTGCATTTTCCAGTCAAATTGAAACGTTTCCATCAGATTGCACGGTATAAAGGGTAGAGAGGGAAAAAATCTAGCGCCCGTTAAACTTGAACAACAACGGGCTTAGCTGCTAGAATATACAAAATTAAATAGGTATTCTAGTGTTCGATATTTAGTATTTATAATCTAGGAATGGTTATACACAATTATTATTTATTGAGCTAACATATTTAAACATTATTAAAACGTATTTGACGCATGTTCTTCTTATTATTATTTATAAGAATCGTTTTAATACCTCGAGTAAAATTATTACAAAAAATAGTATGTATTAGTATTAAACGTCATTACCATTTTAGTTTTAAAATAAGTACAGTATTACAGTGAACTGTATTTGAATAGTAAATTAAACTGGTCAAAATATACATAAATAAATCAGAAGTAAGACCGAAAAAGAATGGGGAGAATGCAAGAAATAAAAATATGGATTTATGTGAGTATGAAGTATGATGAATTAAAAAAGATATTATGTAGAGAAAAATAACTTACTGGGTCGAGCCTTTTAGAGTGGATTAAGGCGAAAGAGGAAGAAGTAAATAAATAATATGTAGCATGAATTTATTTTATGTAATAAGTGATGCATATTTAATATCATAACACATTTGTCAATATTACAATTTATATACGGCTATATTCAATACAAAAATTACTTTTTAATATGTTATTACGTGTAAATAATCAACATTTCATTGTTAAACTATTATGTTATTATTTGAAAATCTACAATACACATATAATTAGTATACATAAAGGTTATGGCCGTCGATTTCGATTACATTATAAAATACAAAATATATAAAACGATGTAACGTAATGTTAAACTCTAGTGACCCGTTATGATGTCGATCCAAAATCAATAAGTTACGCGTGTTGAGTTGCGATAGTGAATATAAAAATGTCAAAATTAAATTGCTTTTATTATTTGTCACATGACAGTCGAATGGACAATTGTAAATCTGAGACCGAAGGGCTTACAGACACATTTAATGTTGTTAGCGCGATGCCAATGTACAAGCTTGATTTTTACAAACAATTTGCCAGCAGCACACTCATTTAAAGTTTTTGAAAGAGGGTTGACATCGGTGGCGGCTACGCGACGGCAAAATAACAGATATAATAATATAGTATAAGAGAAAAAAAAGAAATCTTTCCCGTTGTTCTTTTTAACACTGCAACTGACACTGAGATGGCAATCAATCGATGAAAAATAATGTAAATTAATTTAGTAAGTACTCGTAGTATAATTTCTCGGTTTTTTATGAGAATATATAGTTAGCGCTCAGCTGTACCCTTTTATTTTGTATTTTTGTATAATATCATACAATAAAAATATGAAAGAGTCACAAAATAATTTAATTATCTTCTCGTTAAGTTCATATTACTTACATTACTATTCGCATTCCAGAACAATTTTGGCTTCACATAATTTCGATAAAAACAATTTATAACTTTTGAAAATGTAGAGAATTTCATAAAATTTACACGAACGTAAACGGCACAAGTTATTGATGTTGTAACAATTTTTAATATCGTGCACTTTTAACTTAATACTTTACTTTTAACGGAGTTGTCTTATATTATGTATTTCGCTAAATCATATTGATCATTCTATATAAATGCTTCTTATCCTATTTGTATGGTTTCTTTTAAATACATCAGTTCATCTTTAATCTGTTATAAAATACCAAAAACGTCTAGAAAATAAATGTTTAAAAAAAAAAATCATAAATTGCACCTATCAAATACATATTTCCCTGGTCCCAAAAACTCAACACAAAATCATTACAAAATAATAAAACTCAATAAGAAGTATAAAATTTGAATTTTCATTATAACGAGTTACAAACAAGCACATTACATTCGAAGTTAAAAATATTTGAAAATTCATTATGCTGTTATTATTTATTATAATTTTTAATAAAATTAAATAATTTCTAACTTCTATTCTAGACTCCAGTTTTGTAAAATAAAATTGAATATTTATAAGTAAATTGTTCCCAATGTAATATAATCACTACTATAAATTGTAATTTTTTATATAAAAGATTATGGGTTAAATGTTACAGGTTAGTAATTAGTAAATTATTATACTATTCGAGCGAATATAAATACTAGTACTTAGTACTTACTATTAATTTAAAATGTTTATTATAGATGGTTAGAATTGTGTAAAGTTAAATAATACATTAAGCATTATTGACTAATGATGAATAGTAGAATGCTAAAATACTATTTATATATATATATATATATATATATATAATATCTCTACACATATCTTGTTTAGATTATTTTAGCATTTATTTTATATCGGAAGATCGAATATAGGCTTTCCACTCATTACACTAACTTTTATAGTACTTGGATTTCGAAAGAGAATAATAAAAAATCCATTAACTACCCTTTTAAAATATATAAAAACCAAAGTGGTTCTTAAAGTTTAAACTTTGACTTATTCTTTTAACACGACAATATTTAAAATAAAAAAAACCGTCATACCACAATAATGTATTTTTTTCTAAATTAAAGAATCGAGTTTAAGACCTGTGGTCTAAACATTTTACTAAAGGTATTTAAAAGGTTTTAAGAACTGACCTAGGATATACATATAAAATAAATTTTAAAATGGCTAGTAAAAACGGTTTTTATGGAGCAAAACCCATAAAACAGCTGAAAGCCACTAAAAACATTTTTTACAGTCAATATCAACGAATAGTTATCGGAGCTTTTTATTTAGTGATTTTATTTCTTACATTTTATAAATGTATTACGTCTTTATACTACACCTTACTTGATTTCAACCAACTGGGTTATTTTTAGAAAGTAGGATATAAAATATAAAAGTACAATGAGTGCTATAGTAGTAAAAGTACGTTTATTAAAAAGTGTTAAAATGTATTAAAAATCCTTTTTAGACTCACTATGCTTATGTGTGTAATCGACTTGAACTATCTATACCTTTATTTATACTTTTATTAAAGGTATATACTATATGGAATTATTGGAATTTATCAAACGAAAAAACCGTTCCATTTTAATTTAACAATGTCTGAACTAATATGCGTTTATAGTACAATGGTCATTATACAAATAATGTATAATGAGCCTAAAGTTGGTAAACGCTAATGATCTAAAACAAAATAAATTCACAGAACAAAGATTGACTAATTCTTAGATTATATTATGTACTTAACATTGTATTTTAAAAAAATGTACACTATTTTTTTTTTTAAATTGTTGTTTTATCAATTATATTACAGAGAAAAACTTAATTTATAAAAATGTATTGGTTTAAAGAAACAAACCACGCGACCAAGCAACACAATTAGACAACGCGCATGCTCAACTATATATAAACTGTCGCGATTACCGACCGTCACAGCCGATAATCTTTTTTTTTAGTCGTACCCTCTGTAAAAAATGTTTACCCCACCTCTACTTTTAGGCGTTAATAACTTCAAAAGTAGTTCTACAATACTTACAATCGACCTGTCAGAATTTTTTAAATAACCTACTTTTTAAAATAGCTATCTTGATTTGTTATTTAATTATAAAACCAAAAAGTTCTTTAAATTGTAAAAATGTACTAAACTATTTAATAAACTATTATTTATTTAAAAAAAAAGGAATTTAAAAACCTAAATAAAATAAGTTTAGAAGATGTCACAATCTGCATAGACGAGGCTCAATTTATAATAAATAAGAACATAGTATAAGGTTCGAATACCTATTATTATTTCTACGTCCGGCTGGACCTTTAACTATAATCTGAAAAATCAATTTAAAAAAAAATATTTTTTTTTATTATAGGCTATTCTTAAGAAAACCATTCTAAGATGAATATAAAAAAATAATCTCTCCTCTTTTTATTTATATGATGTTTCAAAGGAGGGATATTGTGTCCATATAATAATACAACAAAAATATATAATTTGAAACTGAATAATTTTTTACTGGTATGGTGTTAAATTTTAAGAGTTTACAGTTGAAGAGTACAGACGTTTGGCGTTTGCTTAGCGTAATAATAGCGATAACAGGGTATAACTAATTGGCAAATCTCCGTAATGGTTTTTGATGTTGAGTCCTGTAATCAGTATATTTAAGTTTTGCTGATCGTAACCGGAATTACCACACTAATGAATACCTATACCAATTATAACGGCAATACGTGGCGAGTAAATGCTTTTGTTTGTTTGGGCAAAATATTCTGCAAGGGAAAATATTCAAATAATGTGAAAGTTAAAAAAATAAAGTAATTAATAGCCAATAATAATATTATTATATCCGTCGAGAGCCTGTTCACGATGTTTGTATAATTATGTAATCGTTATTTGAGTATAAATAAAACCATATCAAACCTCCAATTTTAGCGTTATATGCGATTCCCACACCACAAAATTGGTTAAACGCCACGGCGGCAACTTCACCAGCACATCTAGTCCCGTGCTTGTTGTCTCCATCATCCCGAGGACTAGGATCGTCGTCGTCATCGTTAATGTCCCAGCTGGCTGATTTGTCCTGTAAAAATATATACATATTAGGACATTTGGATTGAGATGATCGATAATTTCTAGTAATAATGAGTGTAATAAAATGGCTTTCATGAAAACGTTAAAATGTGAAACTAAAGACGGTGAATTACACCAAACTTAGGTAGACTGTTCATGTCATTGAAAATATTCTTAACAAGCCATACAATAGTCATTAACTCGTAAATGGTTTTGTGACAAATTTATGTTGTTTTAATAGATATCCAAATTAATTGCAATAATAATTTTGACATTTTGAAGTATCTGTGGTAAATTATTTTCAATATATTTACACAGTAATTTATAGAAATTGTTTTGACAGTAGAAACAGTAGCCTACAAGATACAGTGATGCATGACACATCTTAGGGATGTTAACTATCGTGTACCAATTCACGGAAAAGGTGCAAACTGTAATGTTATCAATGGAACATTCTATTAAAGTGTCTGATCATTTATATGAGTCACGGCCATGATTGCTAAATGTATACTTAACACTATGACGATGAGAGCAACCGGGCATCTTACAGTTACAAGCAAAGGTTCTCAAGCCATAACATTGTAAAATTGTGTTCATATTTATACTTTATACCCTTGTTCTTGAGTTTTTACAGTCATGGAAGGACTTTTGCTGCCTCTACTATATTCTTCCACCTGTCGCTGTCCCGCTATCTGCTATTATTCTTTCATTACCTGCATTTGTTAGATTGTCTTTGATTTTGTCCACCTAACGTTATCTAGGACAGGCTATAGGTCTACCGTTTGTCTTCCCTATCAATTTTCTTGAAGATGCTGTTTGAACTATAGATATTACCTTCCCATTCAAATGGTTTGCTCATCATGTAGCATTTACCTGTTTTTTTTGGTAGATTTATTTCACTAATTTTTTTGTTCTCCTATTTTTAATTTTCTAAAATTGGTCCCTTGTATATCCGTCTATGTACTCTTCTTTCTAAACAAGACATTTTTTAAATGTCATAATTATACCTTATAATATATAACATTGTACTATACTTTATACCCTGGTGAAAACAAATATAAAATAAGAAATGCCACAATGAGGATGCGTGTAAAAATGTATTTAAAACAATCACAGTGGTAACTTGGGTTTGACTTGATTTTTGGGGGACTTTGGTCCCTGTAACACTAAAACATTTTACAATTGAAAACTGACAAAAGGCACTTATATTTATATTGGAAGAGGGGGGCTAATGCCATTAAGCCCAGTCATAGGTCCGACTATGATAAGTACTCAAAATATCTGAAATGAAATAACCAAAATGTGGCTTTTACGTTTTTGCTGCACAACATAGACAATTTATAATTTTATTTTATTCAATATATTATGTGGACGATATAATATGTTAACGTTATTCAATTACTGTGCCAAAGTTCGTTATTTCTGATAAAGAATAATTGTCAGGTATTGTAAACGGTTGTTGATTTTCACAATTAAGAAGTTTAACAGATTGATTATTATACGAGATTTTATTTGAATGGGTTTTCTGATGTACGTTTTGTGTTTATATAAAATATCCATAGGTAACCATTACAGCGATTCATTAAGATGCTGGTCAATACAATAGGCCCAGTAGGGTTTAAAAGACATAGTGGTTCTAGAACGTAGAGTATAAAAATGTACATACTTTTGTAAAAACCATTCCTTCCCAGCAACCTAAAAAGTATAAATTGACATTTCACGACGTTTGTTACAAATCGATTGGTACTTACTCGCGCAATGTTTAACCTAACATCGAATGGTCACGTAGGGCAGAGATAGAAGGTCGAAAATCGAGATGGATAAAAATAAATATAAGAGAACTGCTGGAAACAGAACAAAAGTGAATAACCGTTTCGAGTAATACAATAAGACAAAGTTAAATAAATAGGAAAACGCAAACTATGGCACACAAAAGACCAATCAAAATTAAACCCTTCGGCAGTGTTTGCGGCAATGGTGTCGAGTGCAAACAAAACAGTAAAATACTCATCTCAGGCAACACCCAAGTGGTCGACTACTGTAATAAATGAGTATAGTGACGAAAAGGTGTCATATAAGTCATAATAACTCATTTATTTAGTTTTATATTTACAATACCCAATGTATTAGTAATATGAAATAATTGAGTATTGACGTACTAAACTTAGGCTCCGTGCAAAATATAAAACATTTTACTTTACAAATAGTATTCTATATTCACTACTAATTGGATGTCGGTTACCACTTTAATAGAATTTTTTATTTTGAACAAAACCATATTGTTTGCGACTTTTTATTCTAAGATAAATTATTTTATAATACCCTTCGAAACGAGATATGGCATAATATATAATATATTATTTATGTGCTTATGTGTTTGTGGATGATACCAAACAAATTATATAAAAAGCTTTTCCAGCATTTTATAAGTGATATTTTCAAAATCATTTTTTTTCTTAAAAAAAGCCAACTAAATATAGTAAAATGGCATAAATCAAGATAAAAAATAATGTTTTGTTGTCGAATTGTGGAGCTGTAAAATATATAGCGGTTTCAAAGTACAAATGTGTGTCATTGCGATAAATAATTCTACAATTAAAGCGTGATGTTGTTGAATTTCTCTCGAGATTTCTTAACATTGTATTTATTAGAGAACATATTTGATATAATATTATGAAGCGAAATCTAAAAATCAATACGGTTTCTTTATACTAAAACTGTATTGTAAATATAAGGATTACATTTATGAATATTTTTTTAAATAATTATATACAGTTTTTCAAATGAAAATTATAAATTTTTATAATAAACAATAATTATTATATAAAGAGGATGGTGTGCAAATATTTACGAAGGGGTAATACTATTACATACAAGCTGTGTTTATCAGTTTAGAAATTGCCTTACATTTTGCTACTATTTTACACTTCTCCGATATTAAATTTAAAAGTTCCATTTTTTTTTAAATTCTTAACAATTAAATTTGAATAAATATATTATGCGTTAATTTAATATTTCCATGAAGAATTATTAACAAAAAAATCAAAATTTCATAATATATATCGTACAAAATATTTTTAACACTTTGAATCCTTATAATATGGGAAATAGATTCAATCCCTTTGTAACTAATTACTTAAATATGTTTTTGCGCCAATGCCTTATGTGATCATAAAGTAAAACAAATAACCATACAAAATCATTTTTGATATTTTTAAATATTTTAAGAAAGACAGGTTTATTTTTGTACTTATTTTCAATATTACATCATTATAGGAGTATCACGCAAAGATGAAAAGAGCTAATAGTTGATGATGAACACGCCTAACGAAGTTAGTTTATTAAGAACGGAAAAGCAGTCGCGAGGCTCCAATAAACTGAATTACCTGTATACAAGCTTGATCACGTATTGTGTACCTCGACCAAAACATCCTAAGGCCAATCCTTTGCTAAAGGGCATAGAAATTATTTCCGGGTTCGCACAACTTCTCGATAGTTTCACGCGTAAAATAAATTAGGAACAAGGTAAGTCATTAGTTACTCAATGACCCTAACATTAACAACTAAGAAATTACACTAAGACAATAGTTTGATGTTACAATCAATTGATCAAAAATTCCCTGATAAATAATAAAAATCCTTTATACATATATATACCGTTTAACATTAAGTATATCTCTCTATAAAATCAATAGTGAAAGTTTAAAATAATAATTAATTGATGAAATTAAGTAAATAAAAATACATTGCCTTTGCCCATCAAGTTCATCGAAAATGTTCAAATATTTGAACATGATTTCGATTAATATGACTTTACTTACAACAGTATGCCATGTAATGCTTTATCTATTTAATCATTGTCAAATAGCGATTGTGTTAATTTTTTTTTTTAATATTTAATTAAACTAGAAACATCTATACAAATTACAATGTAATCTGCGAGTGTAATTGAATTTAAAAAGGTATTTCGATGTTCAAAAATGGTCCTGAAAAACTTTTAACTATTCATGCTTGAAAAGTCAAAGTATAACGAAACTGTTGATTTATTGTGCGGGATGAATGCACGATAGCCCATAAAAAAGCAATAGATGCCGTAAACAGCACATTACGTGTCATAAGGCGAAATATTATTAGGTTGATGGGTGGCGTGACTTTTCTTTTTTCCGAAGACACCCGTTTTATATTGACGGCGATCACACCGATAGTCGGCAGGGTTAGGTATAGGATAAAACACACCATCGTATTTTCTTTAGTCTCGCTTTTACTCTCTATCGCTCATATTATATTTTAAAGCTTTTTAAATGAACAGAGATACATCACCCTAAAAAATATTTGGAAAATATATCAAAAATATAAGAGATTGCAATACCTATCTACACTTGCAAGAACAACAAATTATCCATTAAAGATATGAGCACTAGTTGTATTAAAAAACCTATCTATTTCTTTTTCGCGGATTTCTTTTAAATGGATAGTTATTATAAGTATTACTATCTGTGATGGAAAATATTATTATATTGAGTGCTAGTGAACTAAATTAATACCACCGGAGATACTAGATTTTTTTGGATCGTAGTCCCTATGAATTCCGAACAAACGATAGGCAGCAACAGTTTCAACCTATTGGAACAGTTAAAGAAAGTAAACAGTAATTGTCTGTGAGCTAACAACGTTGAGTAATTTTTTTCATATAAAAATTCTGAATTCCAAATTAGAATTCGTAAAAGTTGTTAAAATATTACACTCAAGAAAAATTGTCGAAATAAATAAATTATCTAAGTTCTTATCGTATAATTTAACAATATTTTATTTTCATAACAATGTACTGCGCACAACACGTATAAAACAAATTGTCTGTTGTATATATTATGTATTTTGTTAAAGAAAAATAAAGTTTTACGGTGTGTTTAAAAATAATGAAGTGTTAAGTATATTAATTTATATATTTATATGTTTATATATTTATAAAGCATCACTCTTTTTAGCCGAAAACTAGTTCACAACTGAATA